CTGCGCCCGAGCCCATAGAATCCCCCGCTGTGGCCGTGCCATCGCCGCTGATGAGGTTGCCCGCGTGTGTGCGTGGTCAGGGTGCCTCGGGCCACCTCTAGCCATGCCGCCGGCGCCCACGCGCACAGCTGGGTCTGATGCTGCTCCTGTGTTGCCTGGCCATCGTTCCACCGATAGGAATCGGCCGAAGCCGGCTCCTCCTCTGCTCCTCTGCTTCGCCCATGGATGGAGAAGGGTGAGAATTGGAATAGAACTTTTCTCAGGGTTCTCATTGCAAAATACGTGACTCATGTTAATAGTGTTGAATAGTGTAGAGTACTGCGGGTTAATTTGAGTTAAACTTAGGGGCCTCATCGCAAAAAGTACCACCGCCGCCCTGCCCTGGCCGCGTGGGCCGGCTTGTTGGGCCGTTCCCGCCCACGCGCTTGGGCTGGCCTTGTGCCGCTCGCGCCTGGGCCGCGCTCGCCGGTCGTGGGCCACGCTGAGGCCGTGCCTGCCGTGGGTTGAGTGGGCCGCTGTGTTCTTTTCTTTTTTTCAATGAATTAGTGAAGATTTCCTAAAATAATTTTTGAGCTGATTTTGTTATTTAAATAAAAAATCATTTAGGAGTCTAAAATTTGCGGAACAAATTTCATAGAGTTCCTAAAATCATGATCTATCTATTAGCGTAATTGGTTCATCTAGTTGGTGTTGTTTTAGGATTGCCGTAATTAATTTAAATTGCTTAGTTTCAATAAGACATAAGTTCGTAGGAATTTTTGTGAGAAAACGGTGTTGGTGTTGACTCTGAAAATTTTACAGTAAATTACTAATATTATTAGCAGCTCACTGTAATTTTTGTAGCTCCAGAATAATTAGCTTGCTAGATAGATAATGATGCCCTATTTCGAATAGATATTAAATCAATAGAATGGAATAAAGAAACACCTTGGAAGTGGATAACTAAAACACTCGTTGGAAAATAACATCTTTCTCGACGATGTTGATACGTGAATTAGTATGTTAGTCATTAGAGTTAGCTTGTTAGTTTGTAGTATGTGCTCTGTTTTAAGAGTTGTTGTTGTCTTGTTAATTAACTATTGCATCATCTCTGTATCGCATTGCATACAATAATAGGGACGATGATGGATCGTGGAGTCATCTGGAGTAGCGGAAAAGATGGTGTCTCGATAATCGTGTCACTAAGATGAAATACTAACTTTTGATTATATCTTACCCAGGCAAGCCCCGGTGCATAACTCCTACTTTTTTGCACTTTAAATTATATTTGTGCATTAAGTTTTAAGGAGTTGAATGAAACTCACTTGCATATATATATCTTTATCCTATGAGTCTTACTAGTATGACAGGGTCATGTAGATTTCTATGCTATAGGACTTCGATAGAAGTCGAGTGATTGCCTGTCACTCGCGAGAGATAGGAAATATGTTATTGTTGTTATTATATTATTATCACCTGGAATATATATATGAATGATAAATGGTGACCGGGCAAGGATATGGTGAGGTATTGGTGGGTGTAACATGTTGTGTCCTTAGGCCAACAGGGCATAACTTAGTTACACTGTTTCCCTGTCTGTGTAGGTTAAGGACCGGCCGTTGCATTAGGTTCTAGGCAGGTCACAGACTTATTATCCTCAACACATACTTGTGTATGGGCGCAGAAAAGACTTGTTACTCTCTTATCATGGGTTCCGGCTCTTTTTGAACCGACTTTCAGGGTGGTTTTTGGGTGGAGGTCCAAGCACAACACTGAGTTCGGAACTCAGGGGCGGAGGCTTGGAGTCCAAGTTTGGACAGGGACTTGGACCCAGTGACAGGAGGGTAGTGAGTTGGTTCTGCTTGTGCCTAGGGTTCAAGCGGGGTGTGTGTTTCGGGGTACCCAACTGGGCACATTGATTCGCGAATCGTCGGCGTTCCGAAATGACTTATCTACAATCTAGCACCGCGGTAAGAACTGGAAGATAAAAGATGTTAAAATGATTCTGATTACTTACCACCTGCTTGAAAGTAGCACAAGTGCTTACATAGAATGGTTAGTTAATAAACTAATGATGACTGCTAATAAAATTGAATATAAGGACGCACGCTTAGTAATGCTTCCTACAGATGCAATAAACCCACAAGCCAGATAGCCTTGTATACCATTGAAGTCTTTTTCTTTCCTTCTGTCGGGTAATTCTTGCTGAGTACAATTTAGTACTCAGGGTTTTATTTCTCCCTGTTGCAGGTGACAGGTGGATGCTAAAGCTGACTCTTGTGTGTGGATTCCTCCTGGTGGGTTCAGAGAGGATTCCTTTACGCTGCGATCCTAGTCTTTGTCTATAACTCTCACTAAATATGTTTATAAATAGAAGTTTTATAGTATGTCGTCACAGCTTATATATCAATGCTTCCTCATGTCATGAATAGATATTTATTTCTGCTGTAACTCTGATCACATGTTTATATTCAACTGTTAAATTAAATTGTTCATAACTCTGATCACATGTTTATATTCCGCTGTTAAATTAAATTGTTCATAACTCTGATCACATGTTTATATTTCGCTGTTAAATTAAATTATTCATAATTCTGATAACATGTTCATATTCCGCTATTATAAATAATAAATATTATACTCAGATGTTACATGAAAAGTGATGTAAGAAATGGCTAAGATGTTGTAAGATTTATTCTTTTATTTGTTATCCTGATGGAAAAATGTGAATTTTTAGGTTCTCCCCTGGGGTGTGCTCGATGGAACTGTGTAATTTGGTGTCCTCCCTTGAGTACTTAGTGTCTAATGTAAGACAAGTACTCCTGGGAGGCATTAGATTAAGCGGTTCTGTCACACAAGGGGCCGTGAGCGATCACCAAAGGTCTAGATCTAGCATTGTCTCTTTCCTTGCTTCACTATTGGACTTCTTTTGTTCTTGAGGCAAAGCCGATGCTTTCTCAAACTTTCACGTAGCTCAAAATAAGGATAGGAGCTTGCCAGACAATATCTAGCTGTCTAGGAGGTTTAACCTCCAAAAGTAATATATGCTTCACGAAGCCCATAAGTGTTCCTGATTTGGTTGCTCACTCTTGCTCTCAACCACTAGGCCCCACTTCAGAATGTAGGATTTTGTCTTGTTTTCCGATGTTTTCCTGTTAAAATGAACTGATTCATGTGAAATTCTTATACTATTGTTGCAAAATTCCTGCATTTTAAAGGGACCCTAAATCTTTCAACCCAACTCTTTAGATTTTTCATAAATCACACAAACCTATTAAGAGGGGTTTGGACAGTGCCACAAGGCCTCTACGATGTATCTAGTTCATGCACAAAGCCATCAACCCTCCAAATGAAGGGGAAGGAGTATAAATGCAGGCACATGAAAACTAGTCGTTGCAACAAAAAATGCAGAACTTCAACAAAAAGTGTCGTAACTTTTTACTCAAAACTCCAATTTCGATGATCTTGGACTCTGCGGAAACTTATTCGGAGGGCTCGCCATCCCAAGTAAAAAACAAACTTTGATACTATCAAATGTATGTGTTATATGAAGGTTTCTCTCATGTTAGCACTTGGTGTTCGTTTAGTTTGAGCACTTGAAACTTGTTGAACTATTCATGTTGCCTCCTTCTTGATAGTATGCCATACTTATATTCAATATGAAAAAGATATGTCTATTTCGATCACTTAAGTTTTCATGTCATTTCTTATTATATATTCACATGGGTGCAGCCATCTTTGTCTCTTTCTTTTTGACCAATTGAAAGGATCGATATATCACCTAGAGAAGGTACGTGAATAGACATTTCTGAAAAAAAATAAAACTTGTAGTGGATTACGTGACTAGAATTTCTTGTTAGAGCTAGAATTTTGTAGACACCAGAATTAGGATAAAAATTCGAGATAGAATCAAGTAACGACAAATTTAATAAAAAAAAAGAGATCAAAGTAGAGGGCTGGAGTTAGTTTGTCTCCGTTAGATCCTCTTTCCCCTTTCTCTTAAAATTTAGTATAGGAGATTCAGAAAACTAGATTACACTGGATAGGAGATACGTGCTCCATCCGATTGAGAAAATCTCATCCCTTTTATTTACGTGAACCCCACATGTCAATGCCAAATCAATATGCAATATGTCTTCCTCCTTCCTCTCCTTCCTCGTTTCTCTCCTATCCATAGCGGCACGCAACAACGACGGGTTGACCTAGGCATGGGGGCATAGCGGTGTGCGGAGCTTGCGCAAGAGTGCGCGGCACGGTGCCAGCATGCTCGGCGTGAGCCATGGCGAAGTGACAGGCGAGGTGGTCGCGCAAACGCGTGTGGCATGGCGACATTCATCTTGTCTCGCTAGGGCATAACAAGCTGGCGTCGGGCCATGGCGCGGCGGCGGCCCTCCCATGTTTGCGCGTGGTTGCAGCCCACCTGGTGCGGCGGCGTCACCTCCCGGTTCGGCGCACGGCGTGCCCGACACGGCTATGTGCCGATGTCGCTCAAGAGCGTGGGTCCTGCAGGTCAGTGAGAGAGGAATAGGAAAGAGAATTGAGAAAAATGTCTAGCTGTTCCCCTTTCTTTAAGGGATTGAGAGAGTAGTTTCGTCGATTAAGAAAAAAAATAGAGACTTGAAAAGGAAATCTATTGGTGCTTGATTTTTGTCTTCGATCTTTTTTTTATTATTGGTTGTAGGGAAATGAGATAACTTGTTCCAATCAAGTGGAGATGCTCTAACCATCTTCCATTGCGCGCGTGACATGTCCTCACGTGCTCCCGCCACAGAAGCGAACATGTAGGCCCCACAGCGTGCCGACCTCGAATAATATCCAGCCGTCCATCCATCCACGTCGTCTCGTCGGGGACAGGCAAGACGTTATCGCCGTCGCAGCGCCTCCCGATCACCCACCACCAGTCCCCCACCACCACTGAACCCGCTTCTTCCTCTCCACACCTCTCGCCCTCGCGAAACCTCGCCCCCATTCCCCTCGAAGCCTACGGGCTCGGGGGGCTTCGATCGAATCGGATCGGAAGCATGGAGATCTCGCTCGAGGCGTCGTGGGTGGGCGTGCAGCGGCACGGGCAGGACCTGGCGGACCGCCTCGCGCAGGGCTTCTCGGGGCTCCTCCTCCACGCGCAGCCGCCGCAGCTGCCCCCGTGGTCGCCGCCCGCGCTGTTGCCGCCCAAGATCGTCATCCCCTTCGACATCGACCTCCCCGTTGTCCCCTTCGTCGGCGGGGTGCGCCGCGCGGCCGGGGCCGTGGACCTCCCCGCCGTGGCCGTGTCCTCGCTCGTCGAGATCGGCGGCAGGCTCGGGCAGGCGGGGTCCGAGCTCGGTGCGGCGGTTCAGCACCTCGCGCGCCAGGTGCCTGTGCCTGTGCCGTTCCGGAAATGGGAAGTCGCACAGCCGCCGACCGCGGTGACGGCGGACGAGGGGGAGGTTGCGCTCGCTGTGAGGGCGGTTGGGTCCACGAACGTCGCTTTGGAAAGGGCTGTAGACATAGGGTCCCTCGAGGTGGCAGCAGCTGCTGCTGCTGCGGCCACTGGAAGTGCCACTGCAGCTAGTGTGGGTGCGGTTGGGGCCATGGGCGACGATGGACTGGATGAGGAGGAAGACGGATTTGATTGCGAAATTGGGACATTGGAGAACTTTGAGAAGGCTAAGGTTTGTATGATCAATCGGATTGACGATGAACTTGCACATAATTGACACATTTTCTGTCACGGGATAACCTAGACTGTTCTGTTCTGAAACATTTTGGTGAGCTAAACTGTGCTTAAGAATATATGATGTTTTGGCTATATGGTTGATTTAGGTGAACTGTTTATAATTTGTCTACATTGAGTTCTTTTTTATGCTTTGGTGTTTTAAATAGCTCTCACTCATCTAATGTGTCTGTTATGGGCCCTTTATGTTAACAACTGGTTGTGATCATTGGTTGTAATTAGCACTACCTGCGGTTCAATTATGCTGTTGGCTGTTGCTGTATCAAAAACTTCTTTCTTACCTACTGTTAGTCGTATGCGTATTAAATGAATTTTTTAATCCTGAACTACGAGTCATAACTCTTGTATTGATGTTGGCACAGGGCACTGTAAATATCTCAGCAACTTACAACACCAGGCACCATGACTTCGAGAGTTCAGTAGTTGCACGAGGAGACCTTTGGAGGTTAGAGTCATCACGTGGCAATTTAACTTCTGGAAATGATAGCTCGCCACTTTTCCTTGTTCAACTGGGGCCTTTACTGTTTGTTCGAGACTCCACGCTTCTTTTGCCCGTTCATCTGTCAAAGCAACACCTTCTTTGGTATGGTTATGATCGCAAGGTACTTCTCCCCCCATTCTTTAGGCTTGATGTCATTTCGTCTTATGTATGTGGCCATTCAAATTGTATACTTACATCACTTATCTTGTGATTTGTGAAGACTATCAAACTATTTGATTATTTTCTATACACCATGGTAGCTTTAAAAGTTTAGCATGCAGTTTATGGTCATAGAAAATCTACTGCAGATGGAACTCGTTCTTGGTTCGAAGGATAGTTCATACATGCAAGTGATAGCATATAATTAGGTGTTAGAGAATACTCTCTGGCGAATCTTTCGCTATCACAGTTATTTATGTTTTTGCACTCCAATACTCAAGTAGCTCTATGGAAGACTTGCATTTCCCAGCTAAATATCTTATCTTGTTTCTGAACATTACAGATTGATATTCAAACTTTTGTTGCTTTTTTTTTTTTGTTTTTCCACTCAAATACTCAAGTAGCTCTATGGAAGCTTTATATTTCCTTAGCTAACTATCTATCTTCTTTCTGAACATTACTGATTGATAATCAACCTTTTGTTGTTTATTTATGTACCCATATCTATATAAATTATTTACATTGCTGAATTTTGGCCCTATCACCAAAGTCATGCATGTAATATTCTTTTGCTGTTTTCAGAAGTATATTATTTTTTGCATACCAATTTCTGCTAAATCACTGAGGACGTCTAGCACCTAATATAGTTGCGTTTGTCGCCCACTCTATAGAATTTCACATATTCAAGCATTTCCAGTTTCTGTATCAATTACGCCTATCCAAGCACTTCAACTTTCTGTACTGTCTGTTCTTTATTGCATGTCCATATTGAAATTCATGCACGTGTTGCAGAACGGAATGCATTCCCTATGTCCAGCTATCTGGTCAAAGCATAGAAAATGGATGCTGATGTCAATGATGTGCCTCAACCCTGTAGCTTGTGTAAGTGTATATGCCTTTTACCTGTCTCTCAACACACCATTTATCCTATTGGTTGTACACAAATTTTTTTTCTTTACCAAATTTCTGGTTCTATGAAGATTCAGTCATTTATATCTAGCAAATTAACAATGGGATTGGCTCATATTTGCAAATTGTCACTCCATATGATAAGAACATTGGTTGGATAACTGGGCAGCTGGTGCCTAGTTGGCTGGTTAACAAGCTTTCCTGTTTAATTTTGCCATCATGCTATCAAAGGATATATGATTCCTATCACATAGTTTTTATAGGATTGTCCCCATTAATCGCTTGCAGCAAAATGGGACTCTGACTAGAGTTTTTATAGAATTACTGTGCAATAAAATAGGACTTGCTCATAATTTCTGTGGCATGCCCCTACGTAGAAGTACGGATTGCATCATCTTACCGCTGCAGTATGACATATTTCTGCTGTTTAATGCTCTTTGCTTGGATTTTTGTTTCAGTCCTTCATGGATGTGCAATTTCCAAATGGACAATTGACATATGTTGCTGGTGAGGGGATAACAGCAAGTGGTTTAATCCCTTTATTTGGCGGATTACTCCAAGCACATGGAAAGTGTCCTGGTGATACAAGAGTGAGCTTCTCTTTCAAGGTTAGTATATGCGTAAGCATGCTACCTGTAGCATCACTTAATCCTCTTGAGATCTGTTCCTAATTACTTCACCTGCCTCTTCTTATTTCTACTCCATTTCTTTTGAAGAACAAACAAGGTACTAGGTTCACTCCAACGTTTCAGTGGCCTGATAATTCCGTTTCATTTGGAGTTGCACAAGCTGTAGCATGGAAGAGGTCTGGCCTTATGATGAGGCCCAGCATTCAAATCAGGTAGATTGATATAAGCACTTGCTCAGAGTTATAATTAGCGTTTGCTTTTCAAGATAAATGAGGTTATTCTGAATAGCTTAGTAAAAATGTGGCCTGCTGTTAGTCACAATACAGTGACATCTTTTGTTGGATGCATCGTCTTGTAAATATTTTTGTTGGTCAGGAAAGCTTTGGCAGATAAACTACATTCTACCATAGAATACAACCTGAGAGCGTGTTCATTGATCTTGCTTATGTCATTTTACTTTTTGGCCTTCTTTAAAAGAGTACAAACATGGGTGGATATTTAAGTGTCTTTTGGGTTTTCACTACTGTGGTTCTCATGCCATTGTATCAATCCCTTCTTTCCAAGTTTATTTTAGTTGCACACTTCTGAACTTATTAACCGAAGTACATGCACCAGTGTTTGCCCCACTTTCGGAGGAAGTGATCCTGGAATACACACCGAGTTTGTCCACTCTTTGAAAGACGAACTCAGCGTAATGTGTGGTTTCTCTTGCTCAAGACATCCCTCAGCATTCACAGCTCTCTCTGTAAGCACTCCACCTCTTCTCATGTATAATAAGTTGCCTGTAATTGAATTGCACTGTGCACACCTTACCGCGAACTGAGGCCTCGAATGGTGCTTTGGCAGCTTGGGCGATCCAAATGGAATGGCCAGGTCGGCAGTTCGGGACTAGTAATCACCTTGGAGACACCCCTTGACAACACGGCAAGGCCTTCTTTATCTGTTCAATTGAACGGGGGTTTTGAGTTCTGACGTCTCCTCCGTGAGCTCTGGATACAACTGTATATACTGTATCTCATTTCGAGAAGATGATACCACTGTATATATTGCACGATCCCCGTAGACATATAGCTGCGTTTCAGTAGATATCTTCCCAACAACGAGTGAAGTGTATAGTCCTAAAACACAGAAAATGGCCTACTGTTTTGGTCCACTATATATGAATAAATTTGAAGGCTCATATGTCGTGCGTTACAACTATTTGTCTTAGTAACAACTATACTAAATATTTGTCTTAATAACAACTATGCTCCTATGTCAATTTTTGATACGTGTCATTTTTTTTACCATTTATGCGATATACAGAAGGTCATCACATCAATCCTATCGAATGTGAGACAGTGAGAGTGAGGGTCTGCCTGCCCCAATTCAATTGGGGTGACTCCTTTTTACACGCTCGATGGTGGCAGAACAAGGCTCACGAGCTAAATGAGGTTTTTTAATCAATATTTTTAAAAAATCAACCTGGTTTGAAAAGGCTTTTTATACATCTGTAATCTTTTTGGTCGCACCAATAAGACTAGTGCGATAAAAACTACTCTGTCGCGCTACATGTACCGGTGAGACAAAGATGGCCAGCGTGGCGCCTACTAGCGACTAAGGCCAGCGTGGCGGGCTAGTGGGGCCTGCCTGCCTTGCTGCGCTATCCCGCTCGGCGCAATAGGGCATCATGCCATCCCGCCTGGCACGACACTGCCATGATCGAAGGAAGCTCAAAGGTGTGGACCCTAGTAGGTCATTTTGCGCGCCATGTGTCTGTAGGTAGTGAGCACCCTTTTTGCCAATAATTACCAGAGGCATATTAGAAATGAATTGAACGTTCATATTCAAAATATAATACGCTTGTGAAGAACCACAAATGATGTCATTATTCGTCGTTGGGACACGTGGGAAAGCGGAGGCAGGCCCTTTTCATTACGCGTTAAAGATCTACTTATACAAGTGCATATTCATACTTGTGCAGCACATGCCAGGGCAACACCGGCATCATTTGAAAGTCATGCAAGCCGACTTTCCTATTAGACAAGTGTTGTATTTACTAACATTACCTTACATATGAAATATCAAAACCAGGAGAGATTGAAGGCAAGGTTGTACAACATATTACCATGTACTCAATCCATCCCAAATTGTAAGACGTTTGACTTTTTTGACACCAAGTTTGATCACTTGTCTTATTCAAAAATTTGTGTAAAATATCACTTTTTCGTCGTGGTTTGGTTTATTAATAAAAATTCTTCAAGAATGACTTAAATTTGACTATATTTGCACAAATTTTTTGAATAAGATGAGTGGTCAAACTTAGGGCCAAAAAAGTCAAACGTTCTATAATTTGGGATGGAGGGAGTAGTTTTCAAGGGTGCTCTCTCTGGATGGGCATCGACCCTTGCCATCTGATTGTAGGGGTCCTTGTCATCTGACTCAACATTGACGGGCCAGGTGGAGTAAGGTGGCTTAAGCCAAATCCTTGCGGACCTGTGGAGAGACTACACTGCACTTGAGATGCTATATCCATGCTTTCGCATTGGCTGCACTTAGGGAGATTGATGTCCATAATCTCTCCAGTAGGGGGTTGAGAACCCGAAGATTAATGTTATGCTGTCGGTCCGTGCATTGGTCACAACCTAGAGTTTTCTCTGGTCATACTTAGATCCATTTTTTTAATCATATAGTCGTGCTACTAATCCGTTGTCGTCACCATAACCATGGGAGTGCATCACCTTGTGCCTCCTTCCTCCATGACAACACCAGTCACGTCAACAAGACTGTATTATGTGACAACATGATTGCTTGTCTATTCAGTTAGGGCAGGCGCAATGTATATGTCTCAGATGGCATTAGAGGTGGGACCCATCCCTAGCGGAATTAGATATGGTCACAACAATCAGTCTGTTCGCTTGCTCGTAAATAATCGTAAATTTCCAGCCAGGAATAGTGTTTTTCTCTCACACTAAACCAGCCAGCAGTAAATAATCCACGATATAATACGGCCTCCCGAACAGGCTGAATGTTTACTACACATGAAGGAGATAAGAGTGGGATTGGCTCACTAGAAAAAAAATTGATCGCCTAACCACCCATAAAGTCTGTTGCGCGAGAAAGCGATCCCCAATCCTCTTAGAGTGGAGAGAGTGTGGTTATAGCGCCAACAAAATCCTTCATGCACAAAATACGCTCTCGCAAAATTCTACGCTAGATCCATCAAAGTGAAGCTTCGCAAAATTCTACGCTAGATCCATCAGACTCAGTGGGAGCTAGGAGAAGCTACTATTTCAGCTCCATCTCTTATCCACCCTTTGGAAGAGCATGTTTTAAGAAGCTCATCAAGTAGAGTTATTACATTTTACGCTGTTTAGCATAAAATAGCTCCAAAAGCTCATTGAGCTGGTGGAAAAGGCATACCAAACGAGATCTAAGATGTATTAAGCCGAGCCATCGCACCACTGTATACAGCGGATATGAAGTGAAAAGGGCTTATGAACATCTGCTCTTAGTGATGCGCACGGCGATGTCATATCTTGGGCCTGTCCTGATCGTGTATTGTCTCTGCCTGTACAGTGGGAGTGCCGTCTCACAGTATAGCACGTGTGTCTATTCACCCAGGAACAAGACACCAATTTTTAGCACACCGTGCCAAAATAACGCCAAAAAGGTGGGCACCGTTGCTGAGCCCGATTTTTTTTTTTATTTTTAGCCTTTTTTTTAATTTTTATAAATATACCCATAGAGGTAAGATTTCAAAATCTGGACCCTTAGCTCGGCGTCATCATTACTTGCGCCGAGCTTACACGTCTCGGCACCATCGTTGCTGACGCCGAGCTCTTGGGCTAGACGCAGACGTGACAGTGACATGATAGGTAGCTCGACGCCATAGATCTTGGCGCCGAGCCCGACGCCGTGCTTAACGACGCCAAGCCTGTCCTACGTATGACATCATGGGCGATGCAAGTGCAGTAGTAGGTACAGTAACAGTCCAAGTCCAACCAACTGTAGAGAGAAGGGAGAGACTTTTGGGTCCCGTTCGGCCGGCAGAATTTTAGGTGAAAAATACTGTTCTGGCTGAATTGTTGTGAGAGAAAAATACTATTTCGATTGAAAAAATAAACCGAACCAATCGAATATGGGGTAAACCGAACGAGAGACAACGGCTCGTATAGTATATCTAATCTAAAACGAAGAAGATATTATTGATAGCAGTGCTAAGAGATGGCTGCCACACTCCGTAGTCAAAAGAATAGATGCTGCAGCTGTAATATAATACAGCCAACGACACAGCCAGTCTCGGTATATAGCCTAGACCTCAACCGTTGAAGACTAGCAGTAGCGGTAGGCCAGTAGCAAATACTACTCCAGTAATTAGGCTTGTTTAGTTGGTTAAATTTTAAAAATTGGAGTACTATAGTACTTTCGTTTTTATTTGGCAATTAGTATTTAATTGTGGACTAATTAGGCTCAAAATGTTCGTCTCGCAATTTTCAATTAAACTGTGTAATTAGTTTTTTTCGTTTTAATGCTCTATGTACGTATCGTAAAATTCGATGTAATGGCTACTGTAGTATTGTTTGGGAAATTTTTTTGGAACTAATCACGGCCTTAATAGTAATGAGTACTCCGTACTTTCGGGCAGACATGAGGTGTCCCGGCCGAAAACCACAGCAGGGAGGACCGAGGACCGATTGCAATTGCAAGTCGTCGGAGGCACGGGTATGGGTCACCCGCACGTCAATCAGCTAGCTACTCCCCCATCACAATCACATTTGGCCTGGCATCGCTGGATTGGACGCCACGAACCGCGCGCCTGCCTCGGCGCCAAATGAATTAAGGTGTTTGATCGATGACTAAAATTTAGAAAGTGCGTTGGAAAAATATTATATGAGATATTCGGATACTAATAAAAAAATAAATTATATAACCCGTCAGTACTCTATGAGATGAGTTTTTTAAGCATAATTAATCTGTTATTAGCATATATTTACGGTAGCACCACATTGTCAAATCATGAACTAATTAGACTTAAAAGATTCATCTCGCAAATTAGTCATAGACTATGTAATTAGTTTCATAATTAATCTATATTTAATATTCTATGCATATGTCAAACATTTAATGAGAACAACGACTAAAATTTAAAAGAGAGAAACAAACGGCCCCTAACAACGGAGGACAATCGACAGCGTGACTTGCCCCGATAATAAAGAAAAAATAGTAGTAGTATAAGCTACTGTAGGCGCCAATCGTCCGGCCTAACCACGCGGTGTCCGCGTCTCTCGGTCCACACTTGCCGATGCCCGATGCCCGATGCCGATCCATGTCCATGTCCGTCCTCACGGGCCTCCCCGCACGTCGCGCTCCGCGGCCGGTGGCCAGGGACGACGACGCTTTACGCGCGCGACGCCGGCTCCCGCGCCTCCGCCGAGGACGCAGCGCAGGGCAGTCAACAAACGGTCCGCAGTCCGCACGCAGGCGTCGCCGTCTCTTTTTAGAAAAATAAATAACAATAAA